CCATTGTAAAGTAGCATTATGCAAAAACTTGGAACTTTGCTTTGAGGAAATTAAAGAGCAAGTAGCGATAGGGCTCTGGTCCAAAGAGTTGAGCAATTTCATCATGTCGAAAAGCCATTATGACGAAGATAGTTTGTTCCAAGACATCGTTAATTATGAGAGGATTGTTTTGGCACGTAAAACCAGAATTAAGGACAGAAAGGAACCTCAATTAGACAAAAAACCTTCACAAATTTTTAAGCCCGAAATTAATAGGTCCAGTGGCGTGCCTGCAGTTGGAAATGGTAGTGCTTTGAGATGCTTTAACTGTAATATCCTAGGTCATGGTGCTTCCCAGTGCATTAAGCCACCAAGAGCAAAGGGCTCCTGTTATATTTGTGGGTCGCTTCAGCACCAGAAAAAAGATTGCCCAAAGTTTACGCCTACTGTAGTTAGGCCTAAGACGGAACATGCATCTACTTCTTCATTATTAGTGGAGCCAAGCGTCACAAGTGGATACATGTTGCCAATTGAATTGAGTAAGGAAAACATTTCTATTTATGTAAACTCTATTGTGGACTCAGGTAGTGCAATATCACTGATAACTTATGATACTATTAAAATGTTTAATTTCAAATTTTCTGAAATACCAAATAGGTCTTATGAAGGCATAAATAAGACAAAATTAGAAATCTTAGGTTCAGTTTTGTTTCAAATTAATGTTGCTGATATTGTTTTTGATTTACTTTTGTATGTGGTCCCAAATGATACTATACCCTATACATGTCTTTTAGGGCGTGACTTTATGACAAACAATCAAATTATTATATCTTTTACAGGTACACAAGTAAACATTTTGCCTTCACCTTTAAACTTGAGTAAAAGCAAATCTGAGTGTCCCGAAGAAATTTTGCATATAGAGTATGTAGAGCAAAATGAAATTGATTTGAATATAAATCCATCTCTGGATCCAACTCAAAGTAAAATGTTAACCGACCTTTTTATTTCTGATTATTTAAATCCACCAAGGCCTCTTGAGCCACAGACTAAATACGAATTTAAAATTGTGGTAGATCCTAACCATGTTCCTTTCTTTTACAAACCACGCAGGCTTTCTTTTTCTGAACGACAGGCTGTGCAAGAAATAGCCAAGGATTTACTAGATAGGAATATTATTCGCAGAAGCAATTCTGAATATAGCTCGCCTGTTGTGCTTATTAAGAAAAAAACTATGGACTATAGACTTTGTATTGATTACAGGTCTTTAAACAAAATTACTTTACGTGATAATTTTCCTATCCCATTAATTGAGGATCAGATCGATCAATTAAGAGATAAAAACTACTTTACCCAATTAGATTTGAAAAATGCATTTTATTCTATTAGTATTGAACAGTCATCCATAAAATACACATCTTTTGTGACACCTGATGCTCAATATGAATTTTTGAAATTACCATTTGGTACAAAAAATGGCCCTTCAGCATTTATGAGGTTTATTCGTACAATTTTCCAAGATTTATTAGAACAGAATAAACTTTTAATTTATATCGACGATTTATTGATAGCAACAAAAACAATTGAAGAAAATTTAATGATTTTAAAAGAAATATTCAATTTATTGGTACAAAATAACCTACAACTAAGACTGGATAAATGCTCTTTCCTTTATACAGAAATTAATCATTTAGGCTACTTAATTAACGGCTCTCAGATTAAGCCTAATGATGCACATTTGAAAGCTATAAAAAATTACCCGATGCCTCGAACTACAAAACAATTACATAGTTTCATAGGATTGGCGTCCTATTTCAGAAAATTTGTGCAGAACTTTTCAATAATAGCCGGTCCCTTATATGATTTGTTGAAGAAAAATGTACCTTTTTATTTTGGTCCTGGACAAATAAAGAGTTTTAACACTTTGAAAAATTTACTAATTTCCGAATCTGTCTTAGCTATATACTCTCCCACTGCCGAAACTCAAGTCCATTGTGATGCCAGTTCTCATGGTTTCGCTGGAATTATTTTACAAAAACAAACTGATCAAAAGTTTCATCCAGTTTTCTTTTATAGTCAACGTAAGAATGAAGCGGAGTCAAAACAACACAGCTTCATTTTGGAATTGAAAGCAATAATTAATACTTTGACTAGATTTCGAGTTTATCTTCAGGGCATCTCTTTCAAAATTTATACTGATTGTGATAGTGTTAATGCGGCTCTAAAGAAAAAAGACATAAACCCTAAAATTATGAGGTGGAGTCTTATTTTAGAAAATTTTGACTATAAATTAGAACACAGAAGTGGAACACAAATGCAACATGTTGATGCGTTGAGTCGCTGTTTTGCAAATGTTTTAGTGTTAGAAGAGACTTCTTTCGAAACAAATCTCGGAGTTAAACAAGGACAAGACTCAAAAATTTTGGAAATAAGAAATTCTTTAGAAACAAATCAATCAAAATTGTTTGAATTAAATAACGGTTTAGTCTATAGGAAACATAATGATTTACTTCTATTTTATGTCCCTTTGTCAATGGAGAATAATGTTATTCGTAGTTGCCACGATGATCTTGGTCATGTGGGCACCGATAAATGTTGTTTGGCCATTAAGGAACATTATTGGTTCCCCGATATGCGTAACAAAGTCAAAGCCTACATCTCGAACTGTTTGAAATGTGTAGTCTATTCTCCAGATAGTGGCAAAAAAGAAGGTATGCTTCATAATATCCCAAAGGGTGACCAACCTTTCAATGTACTGCATTTGGATCATTGTGGTCCATTGGAAAAATCCAAACAAAAATACAACAAATATATATTTGCGGTGGTGGATGCTTTTTCAAAATTTGTGAAAATTTATGCATGTAAAACAACTAACACCTCTGAAGTCCTGAAACATTTATCTCAATATTTTTCCAATTACAGCAAACCCTCAAAAATAATTACTGATCGTGGATCAGCATTCACTTCTAAAGCTTTCACAGATTTCTTAGAATCTCAGAATATCACTCATATCTTAATTGCTACAGGTGTACCACGCGCAAACGGTCAAATCGAGCGATTTAATCGTTTTATTATTCCCATGGTTGCCAAATTGACAGAAACTCCTGACCGTTGGGATCAAGTTTTAAATCAGGTAGAATTTGCTATAAACAACACCGTAAATAGATCTACAGGTCAGACACCAGCCAAACTGCTATTTGGAATGAACCAAGTAGGCAAGATTAATGATGATTTGACATTTTTTCTCTCATTTATTAATAAAAACTTTGAAGATATTCATAAATTAAGGCAAGAGGCAAGTCAAAAAATAGAGCGAAACCAAGAATACAATAAAACTTACTATGACCAACGACATAAAGAAGCTAAGTTGTATGACATTGGCGATTATGTGGTAATACCGAACGTTGACGTTACTCCTGGAATTAACAAAAAATTACTGCCAAAATTTAAAGGCCCTTATGTGATTAAAAAAATATTACCTAACGAACGATACGTTATTACTGATATAGACGGATTTCAGGTCACTCAAAGACCTTTTGAGGGTATCTTTAGTGCTGATCATATTCGCCTTTGGGCGAAATCTCCAGAATAAAATATTATGATGTTCGATACTTAATATTTCTACTATTGTTTTTTTTATGCCTTCCTTCTTTCTGTTATTATTATGATGAAATAATTTATGTGTATTATGGTAGTATGATATTTTTGAAATTAAAACCTTATGTTTATGTCTTATGAAACTATTATGATGATTATGCCTTATGTATTTATGAACTTATGACCTTATGACCAGTTATGATTTTATGTCCATTCAGGAATTTATGTATACTTGATTATGAATTTATGTATAATTATGAACTTATCTAAAAAAAAAAAAAAAAAAACCTTATGTTGTAAATTTATGTTATGCATTATGTTAGCTTAATATGTAATATTCTTACATCACATTTTTATGTAATATTCTTATGTCTTAGTCTTATGTTATTTTTTTATGTATATATCTTTTCATATTATTTTGTACTTTGCAATCTTTGTTAGTATTGTGCATACACTCATTTCTTTACCAAAGCGAGGACGCTTTGAGGGTCAGGATGACCGAGTTGTAAGCAATTTAGCAATTTCCTTACTTTCATAGTGTTTATCCTATCTGTGCGCCATATTGAAGCATTCATTAGGTTATGTAGCAACCATAAAGGTAGCAACCCTGTCCTGTGACGTAATAGAAATGATATTTATGAATGACATTTCTGACTTTTGACACAGACCAGGTTTTTTTCTAGAATCAAGAAGAACAACAACCACGTGCCACGAAACAAACCGTTAATCGCCAGTTTTTCCAATAAAAGTTAATTAAAATAGAATCGCAACTTCTTTTATTTTGTAAACTAACATCGCCGGCCTTCCCTACAATATGTCCATTTAAATCCTATATAATTGATATTTAAAAGTAACAAGAGGTTGGGAACAAAATGGCGGCTGGAACTCTATTGTCGCCACTACTGTATGTAAAGGTTTATTTAGCCACTGTAGGTATAGGGTATATCACATGAAATCTGCTCAGAATTTTACGTAGAATCCAAATTTGCAATCACATACAGAGTGTTCCATTCAAAATAGCGATGTTGCCACTAGTTTAGAGTAGAAGCGGCAACACTGCAAGATCAAAAATAATTTTAAAGTCTAGATCATGTTCGTATATCCCGGTTGCCAAATTTCCAAAATGATCCGCTTTTTAGTTTAGTTCTCCATAAACGTCTAATTAGGCAATTCAAACCACGTGACATTCAAGATGGCGTGGCGGCCACACATGGGCCAAAAAACACAAAAAAATATCTAGTTTCTGCCCGAATTAATAGTTTAGGTACCTAGTCAACAAATATTTTATTAAATAATGAAAATCAAAATTGTAAGCAAAACTGTATGCAAAATAATTTAAAATACGCATAAAAACATATTCAAAATAAACTTGTTTGGCCGCCACGTCACATTGAATTTTCCTTTTTGACAGATGGATTGAATTGCCTAATACGCCATCCACCATGGGACACCCTGTATACCGTATACCCACTCTGACGCTTGGGTAAAATAACCCTTTTTTCGAACGCACTCCTATTTCAATTTGCAATTTGACAAGCAACTTGGCGCCAAAACAATCAAAACAAAAACATAACCTCCAATAAAGTCGGCCTGCCTGCCTGATCTTAGTGATAATGTGATCTGATCCTCCTAAATTTAAACTGAAAGTCCTATACCGAATTAAATATTCTATTTTCTAATTAAATTTCGTCAATATAAATTATAATAATAAGTTAAATACTGAAATAATTCATAATATAAATAAAAAATGACGAGTGTTGAAAACATGATTCTATCCAGTATTACAAATTTCTATAAAAATGAAATAAAGGAAACAATGAAGCATGTGCACCATACTAATAGTAAGTACCTTAGAGTGCCCCCTTGCCTTGAATAATAACTGTTACAAATTATATCCCCTGTATATGTTTACTTTATAATAATTATCAATATTATGAAAGAACTAACAACTATTGCATTGCAACGTTATCTTTGCCATTTGACCCTACTTCTTAACTAATAATGATATAATAATGTAGATTTCAAGCTTAATTCCTAATTTTTGTTCAAGGTGTTGCTGCTAACATGACCACAGTTAGAGGACAAGTGCTTTCCGGCACCGAACTTGCCAGGTAGGCTTCCTTCAACAAACTAATAATTTTTTTCTTAAATCAATTTATTTCAGAGAAATAAAATCTCAATTAAAATCAAGAGTTCAAGCTCTAGGCTTACAGCCTACATTAGCCATTGTACAAGTAGGCGGTAGGGAAGATTCAAATGTCTATATCCGAATGAAAATTCAAGCTGCTGCTGATGTAGGAGGCAAAGTCGATCATGTTAAATTGCCTCCAACTACTACACAATCAGAGTTATTAAACAAATTAGACTCCCTGAATAATAGCCCAAATATCCATGGAATAATAGTACAAATGCCTTTGGATTCTGTAACAGAAATTGATTCTCATTTAATAACAGATTCTGTCAGCCCTTCAAAAGATGTCGATGGACTTCATACAATAAACGAAGGTAGATTAGCCATTGGCGACTTAAAAGGTTTCCTCCCTTGCACGCCTGTAGGCGTTTTGGAGCTGATAAAAAAATCTGGAATCAAAATTGAGGGTGCAGATGTTGTTGTTTTGGGCAGAAGTAAAATAGTCGGCACTCCTGCAGCTGAATTGTTGAAGTGGCACCATGCCACTGTCACTGTATGTCATTCGAAAACCAAAAATTTAAAGGAAAAGTGCCGGCAAGCTGATATTCTAGTTGTAGGGATAGGCCGGCCGGAATTTGTTAGGAGGGACTGGGTTAAGCCTGGAGCTGTGGTCATCGATTGTGGAATTAACAGCATTCCAGGTAAGTAATTACTAATTTTCATTGTTGCCTTTTTTTTCATTATCTATATTATGTACAAGGGTTATTGGTTATTCGATTCATTCCTCTGGAATTGTGATAGGGGATGAGGTAAGGAGTAAATTTAACAGTAACATGTATATTCAATGGTTCTGTTTTTCTCAAAAACATAGACCTAATTGCCTTGAAAATTAATTAGCAAAAAATCCACCATACATTTTTTCAATTTTTTTACTGGATTACTTGCCGAACACTATAGTTTTATGTTTGTAATAAAAAATATCCGGAAACATTTCCGTCGCAGGAAAATTTTAACCGATAAGAGATTCTGATACCCTATTTTTAAAGATTATTTTTCAAGAGATTTTATTTAAAATTTTCCCATGACGGAAATGTTTCCGAATATTTTTTATTAGAAACATAAGAGTAGTAATTCAGTAGAAAAGTTTAAAAAATGTACGGTACATTTTTTGCTAATTTATTTTTAACACAATTAATTAGGTCTATTTTTTTTTAGCAAAACAGAACCATTGAAATATCTCAAAAACTATTGAGTTTTGCATAAAGCAAAAACTCCTTATTTTTTTAATACCTACATACATATACAGGGTGTCTAGTCCTAGAATGATCAGGATCATCATTGAATATGCTTTAGAGAAGTCTTTGAACCATTATCTCCCCTTGAAGACTTACAGCCGTTTACATCAAATCAAATCAAATCAAAATATACTTTATTGTCTGAAATAAAATTTCATTGACAAAGCATGCTTAAGGTCTAAATAGTATTAAAATAAAATAAATATTGTATAAAGATATTTAGTCCTAATTCAACAACCTACAAAAAATAAAATAAAACAAAAACAAAAACAAAAATAAAAACGGAAGGATAAAATTATTATAATAAAGGTGAAATATAAAAAATGGAAGAATAATATTAATATTAAAATTAAAATCGTTCATTGAAATAGTCGTTCAGTTTGTAATAGGCTTTACTACACAAAAAAGTTTTCACCGCAAACCTAAATTTTTTAAGAAATGCAATTTGCCTTAAGTTTGCTGGAAGATGATTAAAAATCTGTCTACTTTTAAAAATTATAGAGTTTCGGGTCAGTGCTGATTTTGGGATAGGTGTTCGAATCTGCAATCGTTGCCTAGTTGCATAGGTAAGTCATTGGATTGTTTAGATTGCTGTAGTGGTATTTGTGCATTAGGCAGGCTGACTCAAGGATAAATAAGCAGCAAACTGTTAAAATGTTATGCTGGATGAAAAGTGGGTTACAGTGATGTTGGTATCCAACCCTACACAAATACCTTATCGCTCGTTTCTGAAGAACAAAAACAGACTCGAACAGCCCATCCGAGCAATTACCCCAGAATGAAATCGCATATCTAATGTGCGATTCCACCAGCGAAAAGTAAACCAATTTTGCAGTATCCAAACCTAGTTCATTCACCACTATTCTAACTGCGTAGCAGCCACTGGCCAATTTATTATTCAAGATTTTGACATGCTCATTAAACTTAAGATGGTTGTCCACATGGATGCCCAAGAACCTACAGCTTGTTTTGTTTTCAATTGGCTGTGCTTCCAAAACCCAATCATTAAAAGTGAATTTGAAAGTTACTACATTGGTTTTCTTAGTGTTAAAACAAAGTAAGTTTACGTCACACCATTCCTTGATGAGCCTCAGATCCTCTGATATAACTTTCTTTAAATCATCAACATTCTTTCCCCGCCAAGTTAAGGTGTTATCATCAGCAAAAGAAGTAAGTTTAGCTCTGATGGGTAGATAACTTATGTCATTCAGGAACATTAGAAATAAAACTGGACCCAATACTGACCCCTGAGGAACGCCAGATTTTAATGGCAACAGAGATGACTCTTCACCGCCTATCCTAACCCATTGCTCCCTCCCTTCAAAGTAGGATTCAAACCACAAGTATGCGATCTCTCTAAAACCATATTTTTCTAGCTTATGGAGCATTATGTTATGATTGACACAATCAAATGCCTTAGAGAAATCGCAAAAGACCGTTGCCACAGCTTCGTTTTCATTTAAGCCTGTATAAATTTCCTCAAAAACATTGAACATTGCATCTTGAGTGTTTTTAGTGGGCAAAAATCCGAACTGTGTGCTACTTATTATGTTATGTTGGGAAAAGTACATCAACATTCTCCTCTTAACCAATTTCTCAACGATTTTTGATAGAGTTGACAGTAATGATATTGGCCGATAGTTTGATGGCTCACTTAGTTCACCACCCTTGTGTAAAGGAATAACTATAGCTTTTTTAAGGCAATTTGGAAACACTCCAGTCAAAAAGGAAACATTGATACACTCGGCCAGAACATAGAGTGCATTATCAGGTAAAAGCTTAAGCAAATTGACTGAAATGTTATCATACCCACAAGACTTTTTGTTTTTAATTTCATTAAAAGTGCAAAGAAGCTCATTTAGGTTGGTCGTTTCCAGCACAAAGGTGTCATTTATATTAATATCTGACATGAATGAGATCGGATCTAAACTACTATTAAGATGTTGTTGTAACTTTTGTGCAATTGTACAGTAAAAATTATTTAGTGCATTAGGATCCAAGTCAAACTTTGGCTGCAGAACGGAATTTTTACCAGTAAGTTCATTCACTAATTTCCTATTTTCTTTAGTTGCATTAGATGATGATTCGATTTTTTTCTGCCAAAACTTCTGTTTTGCCATTTTGATAATGTTTTTGTAAATTCTTTTATATTTTTCAAAATAAGCTAAAAACTGTGGATTGCCAGTAAATTTTCGAATAACCTGAAGTGAACGGAAGTTTTTTGCTGAAACCCTTATACCAGTTGTAACCCAAACTTTTTTGTTTTTAATTTTAACTTTTTGTAACGGAAAGGAATTTAAAAATATATTGCTTATTTGGTTATGGAATGCGTCAAATGGGGATTCCGTACCAAGAATGGACAACCAATTCAATACCGAACAGGCGCCTTTGAACTTTTGATAATTTTTTTGGCTAAAAAGACGGCCAATTTTAAATTTGGGCGGTTTGTTTATTACTAGCCTAAAATCTGCCAAGACAGCTTCGTGATCCGAGATGCCAGCCGGGACAACAGTACAATCAACAAATACATCATTAACAGGGAAATTAGAACAAATATAATCTATCTGTGTTTGTGAGTGAGAAGTAATACGGGTAGGTTCCTCAACATGCAGTCTTATATTAAAAGAAAGAAAAAGATTAAATAAGCGTTGTTTCGCGTCAGATTCTTCATCGTCAAAATTTATGCTTAAGTCTCCCCCCAGTATTGCATTTGCCTTAGGAGGTAGTTTACCTAAAAGTTCCTCAAACTTTACAAAAAAATCATTTAAATTTCAATGATAGGGCGGCCTATATATACACAAAATATACAAATTATTTTTTTCGTTAAAGATTAAGGAAAAATCGAAAACATTTTCAATAACAAGGAAATCATACTTATGAACCGAAATAACCACAAATGACTCTGAAAATCCTTCACTAATTAAAATAGCTGTGCCACCACGTGTTTGAGAGTCTCTACAATAGTGAGAAACCAATTTAAAATTTTGAATATGAAATGGTTCATTTGGTGCCAGCCAATGTTCAGTCAAAAGCAAAAAATCAGGAAAATTATTGCTTTCCAAAAGCAAAAATAAATCATCTAATTTATTTCTCAAAGATTGCATGTTAATTAAAAATAATGATACAGCTGTAGTATTCAACTTTTTAGCGTTATTTTCCGTATTAGCTACTTTACGTTTCTCTGAACAAGAGTTTTTTCTAAAAAAGTATTTGCTTGCAAAATGTTTTTGCCTTGGATTACAGTGTCATTTGCTGCTAGATCGTGTCTTGCTTCTAAAAGGTTAACAGTGGTTCCATTAGATAGTGTTTTTTGTACATAAGAAAAATTCTCTACATATTGTTTAGACTGAAGATAACTATTACCATTACTTTTAATACTAGGTTCAAAATTCAAATTGACATCCTGAGCTATTGCCTTTGAAGCATTTGTTTGATCAATAGTTTTTACAAATATTTGAGACTTTACTTTATTTAAGCTTGCTTTAATATTGTCTGATACTAATTTACCTATTTGCCATTTCCTCATGCAAAAACCCTTATGATTAGTAATATTAATATACAGGGTGACTGGTAAGTGGACGTATTCCTTTGAGGAGATGACATTAGAGCCTATTTGCTACCGATTAAACACTATTTACCTCTATACCATTCTTAACGGTTTTCGCGATATTTTCATTTTTCTAATTTTTATAAAATTCACTACCTTATGAGGCAAATATTTAAAATTAACGAAAATAATAAGGACCTTTCTGAAAGTCGTGTTTTAAATTTTAAGCTGACACACTGACAAAAATATCAGCATTGAAAATTATCGAAACACTAATGTTAACTATTGAGTTATTGCGGTTTAAACTTAACTTTTCTTGTTAAGTTTCTAACTAATGACTTATTTAACCCTAAAAATATCGAAAATTTCATAGTACTTCAAACGTACAAATAATTGGCAAAAGTACTCCATTTTATTGTCTCCAAGATAAGGTACATTATTTCAGAATTAGCTTTTTGCTTTCTTGTTAAATAAATTATTTTTATTTTAAGGAGAGACGATATAATTTTCAACAGAATTCTAATTTATACCTGTTTTGGATATCAAGTGTTGCAATAAAAATTTTATCAAATTTTTTAGTAGCTAATAGTAATAGTTTTTAGTAAAGAAGTAATTATTATTTTCTGCTTGAAAATTTTGAAATTTTCATAATAAATTACTGGCACTCTATGGCCAAGCATTGTTGAATGCATTCTCTTTCAAATAGTTCACAATTGGCACCTAATTTTTTCGTTCCATAATAAAACAATAATTACCATTTGAAAAAATGTATTTCCTATCATAATAAAAAAAACAACATTCTCAAAATGAAATGGAAAAACTTTTTGATACAATTTAATCAATAACTCATTAATTTTCA